CTTGGTTATCATGAAACCAAGGAATTTGCCAGCTTTTGCGCCGAAGACGCACTTCAGGGGGTTGAGTCTGAGGCTATTTTTGCGTAGCGCCTCAAACGTTTCGCGGAGGTCTTCCAGATGGGAGCCCCCACCCTTTGTCTTGACAATGAGGTCATCTACATAGGCCTCGATGTTGCGCCCAATCTGGGGTACGAAGACGGTGTCAATCATTCGCTGGTATGTCGCGCCTGCATTCTTCAGGCTGAACGGCATCCCCGTGAAACAGAAGTTGCCGAATGGCGTCATGAACGCGGTCTTCTCCTCGTCTTCACGACTCATTGGGATCTGGTGATATCCTGAAAACATATCTAGGAATGATAGTGTTTCGTGGTTGGATGTCGCGTCGATCAGCTGGTCAATGCGCGGGAGTGGGTACGGGTCTCCCGGGTATACTTTGTTGATGGTGGTGTAGTTGACGCACATTCGCCACGCGCCCGAGGCTTTTTTCACCAGGACAACGTTTGCCAGCCACTTTGGGTACTTCACAGCTCGGATGAGACCGGCAGCTAGTAGCCGCGACACTTCTTCTTCTATGGCTTTCAATTTCTCACTAGTGAATGAGCGCCGTGTCTGTTGACGGGGCGTCGCGGTGTCTGGTACCGCGAGGCAATGTTGCGCCACATGCCTTGGCACTCCTGGCATGTCCTCAGTGCACCAGGCGAAGAGCTCCTAGTACTCCTGCAATAGTTTGACCAACGGCTCGACCATATCCCCAGGGACATGTGTAGAGATGCGCACTTTTTTGTCTGGTTCCCCCGGGTTCAGCGCGACCTCGAAGTCGTAGTCCATCGACTCTGGGCGCGGGTCGTCAGCGCGGGTGTCGATGATGTTTGTCTGTCTCTGTGGCGCGATGGGGCGCGGGATTTGTTGGTTTCTCTCGGACCATTGTGAGCCGCGCGATTCTCCTGTTCCCACCTTGGTGGGGAATTTGAGTTTTTGGTGGCATGTTGACGCTAACGCCATGAACTTGGCGAGGAACGGGCGGCCTAAGATGCCGTTGTGAGGAGAATTGCATTCCACGATGGTGAACTGCACTTGCTTGGACGTGCGCGGTTCGTCATCACCGAGCACCACTGGCAGGGTGATCTCCCTGATTACCGCGACCCTCGTGCCAGAGAATCACACCAAGTTACCTTGAGCCCGTTGGATCAAGCTTGGGTCTACGTCCATTTGATCCAACGTGCGCTTGAACAGGACGTCCACAGCGCTTCCCCCGTCTATGAGCAGACGGTGAACTTTGCAAGCGGCCACCAGCGTCATTATAGTTAATGGCTCTTCAGATGCGATCCCGTGCGGGAGCTCTGAGTTGCCGAAACTCAGATCGCACTTTACGGCAGCGCTTGTCGTCGCACATTCGACCACGCGGTCTCGCTTTGTCTTTTTCATTGGCCTGTTTCCTTCGATCGTGACAACCCCTATTTCTTTCTAGACGATGTAGGATCCCGTTGTCTCGTTGTAGTCTGCCTGGGGCGGAGGTGGCGGTGGTGCGGCCTGTTGGTCTTTCCGCTCCTCCACTCCGCTTACGTATTCCGCCAAATATCCTCTCCTAATGAGCCCCTCTATTTCTACGCGAAGATTAAAGCAATCTTCGGTCAGGTGCCCTGGCTCTCGGTGGAAGTCGCAGTGCTTTCTGTGGTCACGCGTGTGCATAAGGGCTATTATCGGCGCTGGCCAGCTGACGCGGTAGCCCTTCTCCCTGATGAGGTGGAAGATGTTCTTTACCGAGTCATTGAGGGGAGTAAAGCTCGTTGGCGGGCGCCTCTCTGGTGAACGCCTTCGTTGCGGAGGATCTCTTTTTGGCGGGGCGAAGTACAGCGGGGACAAGTGCTGTTCCAGGAAGGTTAGATCCGCCCTCTCTGGCGGATCCTGCTCGCGCAACGTTGGGGCGGATTGCCTAACTGTTTGGCAATCCGCGGGTGATGGTCGCGTCGTCGTGTGACGTGTTAACGCGTCGTCGGTTGTAGTGGCGCCTGTTTCCTTACTCATCATCAGGGCGATCACTTGGTTCATCTTTGCTTGCATGTCCGCGATGACCTCGTTCTGCTTGGTCATCTGTTGGCGGACCTCCTTGGCCGTCAGCTCCGGCTCTTCTTCCTCAATTAGGACCGCGTTGAGATTGCTCGTTTCCGCGAATGACCTTGAGTTTGTCATCACTTTGATTTGGGTTACTTCGCTGGGGATGCTGTTGTCTTGTTCTGCAATTGGGGATTTTGATCTTGTTGTTCCTCTACTCTGGCCCCACGGTGGGCGCCAATTGTTTGAGTCCAACTGAGGGTAGGAGGTGAACTCGGAAAAGAGGGTGAGAAGAGTAACAACAAGAGGTCTAGAAAGGAAGTATTCTTAGAGAGAGAAAGCAGTAGTTCGTAATACTAGTCAGAGAGTAAAAAATGCGATCCCTCACCCACCGGAGTAAATGCCGTATTTATAGGCTACATGGTGGTGGGTGAGTTACACGGTGACAAGACTGCTATCATTGTCAGAACTTTCAGCCATCCTCCAACCTAGTACTAGGGGGCTTGTCCTTCATTGTACCTAGGACACTGATGTGACCACTCTTCAAGGGATAGGGTGTCGTTTCCAAGGCAGACTAGGTATAGTCAACTTTCGGCTGAAACGCCGTCGTTCGGTCGTTTGGAGTCCATGTCCGCGCATGAGGCCTCCGGGCTCTTAAGCTTCTCGCGTGTGCACAACTTTGGGTACGCCTTTGCAAGCGCGGCGTCGCGCTGGCCTCTTGGCGCGCCTGGACCCGAGCCATATGCCCAACACGAAGCATAAAAATTTGCCGCTAAAATAATATTAGTGGCAAATATTTATGCTACTAAAGTGAGAGAAAAAACAATATTATATTAATTCAAAAGTGAAATTGGTAACAAAACTATTTATCGGCAATTCAAAAATTAGAAGTAGATAATATTTATCGCTAACATCTGCCTCTAAAGAAATTTAGCGGCAGCAGTAATGACAGACAATACATGTTGTAGTTAAGTTCTTCATTGTAATTATTTGTTTGAGTAGTGTAGTTACTCGTACTAAGATTATCTTTAAACATTTTCTCGATAAAGTTGACTTAAGGTTTCTATATTAAATTGATTCATCATTTGAATATTTAGATTGTCTATTTCTATTTCTCCTTGTAGCTCGCTAATTTCTTGCTCAATGTGTTCTACCTTTGTTAACATCAACATGATTAATTATTTATTTAAAGTCATTCTTTTTTTATAATAGTGATAAACTTTATTAAACGACCAAGCGAAAAACAAAAAGTACAAACGGATGACAAGCCATCAAAGTTTCCAAATATCTGAACCAATGATGAATGATTAAGTCCAATCAAAACTTAAAGCTCTCTAAAATATCAGGACTACTAAAATTTTTTGTTGCATATTTGGAATGTATGTAGTCGAAATTTTACTCCATCCTCCCCCTCCATGAGGAACATAGGATTTTTTGTATAAATATTCATAAGAAAATAATTGACCGTCTCTATAATTATTAAATTTTTGGTTAATTTTTTAAATTGGCACGAATTATACTCAAACAGACTACTTTGGTCCGTGATTTTAAAAATTGCTATCTTGGCTTTAACTATACACCATCTAGACTAATTTGGCATGGCCCGTGAATTTCCGTAAAATTAAACGGTGCACATCATTGACCCTTAACGAATCATCATTTTTGCTTATGTGGATGCCATGTATACATTAAATTAATAAAACAATTTCAAGAATGGAATAAATTGAAAATATTTCTGATTAGTTTCATTTTTTTTTTTTTGGCTAAGGTAGGATGATTAGTTTCATTATTAATTTAAATGGTAACTAATATTCATTAGAAAAAATAATTTTAATTTGAATTTTTAATGATTTTATTGCGGACATGGCAGTGAGCTGGCCGTTGCCCGTTAGTCAACGATGATGACCGTCCAAATTGAATTTCAAAACACGCCTCCGGCCAAACTAGTCTATATGGTGTATAGTTGAGACCAGGATATCAATTTTTAAAACCATTGGCCAAAGTAGTCTATTTGAGTATAGTTCGAGATGATTTCAGATTTATCATATTCATATAATTGTTCTTCTGTTTTTACATAATTTGTATACCGATTTCGTCACTACTGTAATCTAATATGATTTTATTATTTTCAATATTTTCTTTGTCTTCTGGTTCGGATTCGATAGTATAATTGTTGCTATTAAATCATTTAGCTTGTTTATTTTTTTTCTAAAGTTGTCATAATATCCTAAATGGTGATGCAATTTTTAGGATACTCTACTTTCTATATTCTTTCAAATATTTTTCATGTCTTCTAATGTAGCTCATATTTTATTATCTGATTTAGTAGCAATTTCTTAAACTTTATTTATTGTTTCCTTAAGATCTGGTAAAGTTATTTATTGAGTTTTTAAAGTTGATTTCCCCAGCACTATTTCAATATTATTTATAATTTTATTGATTTCATTTTTAGCTATTTCTAATTCAGAATACAATTGTTCTTGTTTTTCATCATATTGATATTTTAAATTATTTTTAAATACTTATTATCTTCTTATGTAATGCTTATTATTTTTTCTAAAGTATTTGTTATACTTTCATGATAATCCGTTATTAATCTTCCTATTTTATCCATTTTTATTGATATATTTTCACTAGCCATTGTATTATTAGGGCGATCTGAACTGGTTCGACCAGATTCAACCTATTACGATTCTTTATTAGTTATTATCAGTGGTTCTAAATAGAAGTTGTGGATCCTACAGCCGAGAGACCGGCGGCATTAGTGTCGTCACTGCACCATAGAATTGGCGTGTAGTTTATGATAAACATCGATCGTTAAAGTGGCTATGCTACCCGTTAGGAATACGGAACTGTTAAATGAGATATGTAATCTCTTTTGATTTTTATCTTTGTTGTTTTCTTCTTCGCCATTGTGCGTATTCCTTTTATCTCTCATTGATTCATTTTATTATTTCAACCCCTTATTTACACAAAAAATTCACTCAGTTTGTCTAATTATACCAATATCCGATCCCATCCTTTTCTTCTTCTAATAAATGTGCCCGTTCTTGTTACGGTTACCACACATCATGTTGACTTCTAACGACACAAATGATTTACGAATTCAATATTCGAATCCAGAACGATAACAAAAAAAAATTCTGCCGAAAAAACTAATGAATTACAATTACTCAAAATGCTCGCAGAAACATAAAGATGGATATATCAGTTCCATGGCCGAAAGGATAACCCAAAAAATACGAACTTTTATTGATAACCAGAAACATAACATCGAATTCAGTCGATTAGTTCATACCACGATTAACAGCAGCAGGAGTACTGGCTGCTGATGATGAATGATTGCATTTATCAGTGCAGTCAGTGAAACACTGATCGGTGCCCTCGTGATCGCACTTCTTCAAGCAATCGGCCAAGCACTTGTCGAAGTCCTCCTTCACGATTCCCAAAACGACTTGCTGCCTTCCCACCATCATCATCGCGGCCACCAGCAGCAACAGCCATGCTGAAGCAGCAAGAGCCTTTCTTCTGCCCTCCATCTTTATCCAAGAATTGAAAAATTGTTTTAGTTGTGACTTTTGAGCACTCTATACATTCTTCTTCTTCTTTTATACTGAAGAAAATGGTCGCCGGTATGCGTTTAGTTCGAGCGATGTACATATGGAAATCGTAAGTTACAGGTCGAAGAATCATCCCGGTAAGGAAATTGCAATCTCGAGAATAAATCTTTACCGTTTTACGTTTTTGCAATTATAGTAGCACATTTTGCCGAATCGTATCATTGAAAATCCTCTACAAAATCTTCTAGTCTTATGGAAGGCACGATTCTGATCATAAAACCTTACCATTTCGTAACACATCAGCAACGTCACCATGCATGGGCTGCATGGGCCACAAACGACCTAAATGGGCCCTCTAATGGGCTTCAGACACTTAGCAAACATGGACTGGCTAACAGGTCCAGCAGCGGGAGGTGACAGCTGGAGAGAGCACTCAATTACCTCAGATAGCCCAACAATATTGAAAATCCACCACGGCCCAAAAACAATGGGCTCAGTCAACTTCACCCAATCCACCACTCAAAAACGGACGCCCCGTTTCCGGCCCATCTACCGTAAAGTACGTCAAACCCCACGTCCATGCAGCCATGCACCTAGCTCGCTCCCGTGATTTAATAGAATCAAAATCGATTCCCTAACCTAACCCATCATAGTTAACTAACTAATGTGGGCCCCGGCCATTTGGCCGGAGGAAGGTAGGATGGCAATGGGTCGGGTTGGGTCGGGTTTTGCCAAATTCAAATCCAAATTCATGGGTTTATTTGTGAAAAAAATTCGGGGTAAAATTCACTGGGTTTGAAAAACTCAAACCCAACTCAACCCCCTGGGTATCCGCGGGTTCATGGGTACCCACAGGTTTTTGTCTTAAAAAATTTACAATAACAAGTTGCTATCAAAATTAAAGTCAAATATCAATCTCTCAATACAAATTATCCATATATAAAATACCATTCTAGAAAATTCAAGCAAATAACAAATTATCCATAAATAACATAATTAATTGAAAGCTTCTTCCTTTCAATTAAGTTTCTTCACTCTCCACTCGATAACATCAACTTCATTCTACACAATTAGAAAGAAAAAAGTAGACATGTCTCCACAAACATAAATAAGATAAGTTGTTTAGAATATTAAATATATCGAGAAAATTAATTATATGGGTGTGGGCGGGTACCCATGGGTCGGGTTTACCTAAACCCAAACCCAACCCAACCCGATGAATATTGAACGGGTTTAAACCCAAACCCGGCCCAAAACCCGTCAACACGGATTTTACCCGCGTTGACCGAGTTGGGTAGGGTGGGTACTCGTGGGTTCGGATTTTGTTTTCATCCCTAGAGGAAGGTGAGGTATGAAATTTGATAATGTAATGGGGTGTATAACTTATTGTTGTATAGTTTTTTTTTTTGGGAAACACGTGATAAAAATAGTGAATTTTAGCAGGAAAGAGACATTAATGATGCAACAAATCAAAAATCGGCCTTATGAACCAAAATCAAGTACCTTTTACCTTGTGAAACAATATTGTTTCTGGTAATATGATGAGGTGGAGTAAGTTTTATAGAAACTGAATTCCAGAAAATCGAATAAAAAATCGCCTATCCCGTCGGTTTTCGGGAAATGAGCATCTCACAATCGTTGCTAGCTTTTACTCGGCCTGTTGGCCGATTAATTTGGTTTATAAAACTTTCATCTTGTCGTCATTGTGCTTTCTGGTTTTTTTCAGGCTATGATAAAATCTAAGGAAATAAAGAACGAACAACACGATTTGGGATAGGAACCGTCGTTGTCGTATCCCTAGAAAATGGTGGTAAACACGGACTCACCTGCCAAACTGGTTTGGATTGAGATTTTTATCGGGTATCAGGGAACCATGTGATTATAAATTAGACTTGATCAAAAGGGGCCAAAACTTGAAATGCAGCCTGTTTGACCGACCCATGCCAAATTCTAATTATTCTTACTTTTAAACTTTTTATTTGAAAATAAAAAATAGTGAAAGAAAAGAGATGACTGCCATTTGCACATCACTTATTCGGGAATAAAACCATAGAAATTCAAAAGGAACTGAAAATGTTAGGATCGTTTTAATGTTTAAAATAACCAAATAGATCTTTCTGTTTAGTTTTTTACTAACAAATACCAAACGATTCCCTATAAAATACACTATGATTTGATCATTATGATATCAAATAATTATATAATATATATTTGAAATGATAAAAATTGGACTAATTGGGTTGGTCGAGGTTGAACCATTGAATAACTTTAAAATACATTATATTTTAGCCACTAAGATATAAAATAATAGCATAATATATTATGCCAGAGAAAATAGCTTGTTTTAGAATGTCAAACCAATGATGTTCATTTGTTTTACTTGATGGCCAAATCCCGTGTAGGTCAAACCAATTCAACTCTTTTATTTTATGGTTAGCGGTTAGCCCATTAGATACCATGCATTAGTTTATTGTTAAATTTTTTATTTTTATCAATAAAAAGAAGTATTGTTTTTGCCTCTTCATATATATTTTATCACCACGGAGAAATAAAAGGGCTTAATGAAAAAATTGACACTCTTGAACCCGTTTAAATCCGCATGTGTACGGTAAGTTGGCCCGTTCCACAGAGGAAAGAGGAAAAAATTGACACTCCCTATTCTATCATTCCTACAAACGCTCCTGGAGCAGGAAATTTGAAATTGGGGAAGGGTTTTTTCCTCTCTGCTATTATATCTTTTTAATTTAAAAAGATGCAACAAATGTACTTAGTGTGATTGGTTATGATCCTTACTTTTCCTTAAAATGGTCATGGTTCGAATCCCACTATGTGTCTTTTTAATGAATTAAAAAAAGCAAGTGTGAAGACCAAAATGTCCTTCCTACTTTCACTCTCGTTGCAGGAAATTTGAAATGGGGCTCCCGTTTTTCCCTTCGGTGTATTATATTATGTGTAGATTAACTTAGGGGTTTACGTGGGTCGGATGGGCCTTCTTTTGGTCTTTATAATCAACCGACTCACATCTACGGTTTGACTTATAAGCTAACACATCCATATAGGGTTATAGGTATAATATGCCCCTCTAATATATAGTTTTATCAAACATGCCCTCTACTATTTTTTACATCAAACATACCCTTATACTTTGTAAAAATGGTCAAACATGCCCTTTTGTTAAAATTTGCATCCAAAAACCATCAATCATGGTCAAACCTTGGTTTGGGCGACACCTATGTCTAAAATATTCCTAATAATTTCACTTTAGAATTTTTTTTGTTTAGCCAAATACTTCTAATAATTTCACTTTAACTAGACCTGAAGAAATAAATTAGGAAGAAAAACTGACATTTCAACCGTAATTTTTTCGATGTCGGGTCGTGTGAATCTCAGTTCAACTGTGGTTGACCATATTTTAATGGAAATTTTTACATAAGAGCATGTTTGATAATTTTTCCAAAATATAGGGGCATGTTTGATGTAAAAAATAGTAGAGGGGCATGTTTGATAAAATTGCATAGTAGAGGGACATATTATACCTATAACCCATCCATATATTTTGTAAACCTCGACTTTTACTATTGGGCAGGCTCGGGTTGACGGGTTGGGCCGGTTTCCAAAATTATATGTTCATCCCAATAATTAACTATATCTCGTTTTTGGTATTGTTGATATGACTTGAATCGGATAATCAGCCGCTACGACTGGTAATCGGGGGTCTCGCTGACCGGGCAGCGAGTGGGGTCCAGGGGCAACGCCCCGGTGGGGCTGCGGGGGCAACGCCCCCGGCCCACGGTGTATGGGCTCAATGTTATTTGGGTTCGGGTTCTGGGCCTGGTCTGTAACCGTTTCCTTTGCCAGTTTGGATTAGGTTTAGACCCACATGGAGAAGTACTATAAATACTTCTCATACTCCTCTGTAATCTGTAATCTCCTTGATATAGTGAAACTGGCTCTCTCTCGCCCGTGGACGTAGCTAACACACATCGTGTTAGTGAACCACGTAAATCGTGTGTCATGTTTTCGATTCTCGCTTTCGTATTCTTGCTTTGTCGATTCCTGCGATTTCCCGATCCGTAGCAGCGCGTTTATAACAAGTGGTATCAGAGCCGCGGCTGGAAATTAGGCTAGGGTTTTCGATTCAGAAGAATGACGTCGGTGAACATGAAGATCGAAAAGTTCACGGGGAAGAACAGCTTCGCTATATGGCAGATCAAGATGCAGGCTTTATTAAAACAGCAAGGGCTGTGGGGGCCGCTGTCTGCGAAACAGAAGAAGGCAGCGGTCGATGACGATGAGTGGAACACCCTGGAGGAAAAGGCACACTCGACCATCATGCTATCGTTGTCTGATGACGTCATCATTGAAGTCGCTACTGAGAAGACTGCCGCAGGCTTGTGGTTAAAGTTGGAGAGTCTGTATATGACGAAGTCCTTAACCAACAAGCTGCATCTCAAGCAACGGTTGTTCAGTTTGAGGATGCAAGAAGGTACGCCTTTGAGGGAACATCTCGAACAGCTTAACTCTATTTTGCTGGATCTGCGTAATGTAGATGTTCAAGTTGATGACAAGGATGCTGCCCTAATCCTGCTGGTTTCTTTGCCGAGTTCATATGAGAATTTCGTTGATTCTTTTATTGCTGGTAAAGAAAGCGTGTCGTTGGAGGATGTCAGGTCTGCTCTTCATAAGAGAGAGATCAGACATAAGGCGTCTGGATCTGGTACAGGTGGTGAGGCATCGGGTTTGGCTGTTACAGGTGGAAAGGGAAAGAAGAAATCTGGTAAAGGGAATTCGAACAAGAATTCCAAGGGTCCCGGTCCACAGCCAGGTGATGCTTGTCACAACTGTAAGGAAGTGGGTCATTGGAAGTACAACTGTCCCAAGAGAAGAGGGAAACAGAAGAAACAAGGTTTAGTTGCCGTGGCAGAAGTGGACAACAGTTCTGAAGACGATCTCGCATTGGCTGTAGATGAGAAGGCACATCGTGGGGATTTGTGGTTTCTGGATACTGCAGCCTCATACCA